GGATTCCCTCGGAGGAGCTGGCCCTAGTGGCTGGGGAGAGGGACGTCTGAGCCTCCCCTCTGAAGCTGCTATCCGGCCCCGGATAACTGGAAGAAGATGGGTGGATGGATTGTATTAGATGTATATTTGAGAACTAAATCCATAATCAATTGAGCCTTAAACTGTAGTCTTGTCAAAGAAAACTTCAGAATCAGAATCTGAATATTCAAAGAAAAGAAGAATTTATTCGGAGAGGCTCAGGTTGCAGTCACGTCTGCTAATTGTATTTCAAAAACTCCCTTTGGGGTTCCCACCAAGAAATGTCAGCACTTTAATTTAAGTTAAATGACTTAAAGCTTAAGCCTATAACGTGTACGAAACAAAACAAACAAAAAAATAATATGAATAAACATAGATGTATAACTTGGTATTTCTGTATTACTTATCGTGTCTTTTACTGATTCTTTTATGTATTATGTGTTTATTCCAGTAGTTTGTAGTGTTCGTCTAGTCAATTAAACATAACTACAAGTTTGGGTCATCAGTAATCTGTCACCATTATGTGGTTTGTGTTGGGAGCTGGAGAAGTTCCACCTTTCTCCAGCAGAGCCCGCCGTGGATCCTTCTGAGTGAGCCTCCTGCACAGCTGCAGCCCATCAGATCATCAGAGGATCCACCATATAAGCTGTCTTCAGACCTTGCCTCAATGCTGCAGTGTTGATCCAGTTGGTCAGCGCCTAAGCCTAGACTCTCAGTGCATCTTTGTTGACTTTGAATCCAGCCAGGATTCTAACCATTGTCTCTATCTTCCAGGAAACCTGTGTCTCCTCTGTGAAGCTCTGGAAGAGCTAACCTGCCGAGCCGACCCTCAGAGCCAAACCCGAAGAACTATAGAGAACTTCCATGCAGCTCAGGACTAAGAGCTGGAAAACCCAAAGCCAAGGTCTGTTCATTTATAGACGTGAGACGCTGAAGCAGCAAGCAGACTCTGCTGAGCAACTCTTCTCCAGATCCAACAGTGACTCTCCCAAAGCTAACCTCAAGAACCCTCAAGGTACAATCAGTTATCATCAAGAGATCAAGCTCCAACGTGCTGCGCTAACTGAACTGTCTCTCACGCAGACTCCAGTGAACCAGTGTCCAGGCCCGAGCCAGAACCAGTACAATCTGTGTGCTTGTGTCAAATAAACTTGTTGAACTTTTATTCCTGTGTCCGTCAGTGGTGTTCTGCATACTTGGGTCGCTCTTTTGAGAACCCATCATGACAGAACACTGCGGCCAAACTCAAGGCCCAGCAGATCACCTCACCCGTCGATTGGAGGAGCAGGATGCCCAGATTCAAGGACAAACCCAAACGCTCCGTGAGTTATATCGCCTGGTAGACACTCATAATCATATGCTTCAGAGCTATGCTAACTACTTGAACAGCGCTAATGCCACACCGACGCCTCAACCATTTCCGGGTCCAGTTCCACCTCCGAGGTCACCAGCAGTGACGTCAT